GGTTCTGTAAACTGTTTAGTGGTGCTTGCCCCTTCCAACATAAATTGACGTGTTTTTGGATTTTTCCTAAATACCAGTATTACAAAAGTTATTAAAGGTGGATACTTTTATCTGAAAAGCACTGTATAAGGGCTCACATCATCAATTATTTTCAGTTCATTGTATTCGGTTGAAAATGTCCTTTTAGGACGAAACTGCAGTTAGTTACAAATACAAGCTGTAAAAAAACATTATTTCTCATTTCACCAATTACATTATTCTACAATTCAGTCAAAATAATATTGAATGAGTTGTTTCAAAACTTTGAAAATAGACGTTGAATATTTCTTTTCAATATAAAAATAAGAACTATTCCCGGCTGGTTCGAGCTCAGTTTCCATGATATCAATTTCAACAATTCCAATAAATATTGCAAAAACATTTTCTACTCAAAAACTGTATAATATTTAATCCTCTCTATCTATTCGTAATCTGACTCTACTATTTCTATGACAGCCATGTCATCATCTTACTTTCACCGCAGTATGTGATTATAATGTCTGGTTTTATGTTAAGTTCTAGGGATGGTCACATACGAGTATAATAATAAATATTTGAAGTACATATTAGTTTGATGATGAAACAACTGTTTCACAAGGATTTCTTTTTTATCATAGTTTTAGCTTTTTAGTTTATTTGACTTTAATGATTGTGAAGTCTATATTTCCTTTTATCACTTTAGTCTTCTGAAAACCGTTTATTTTTACTCTGACATGATTTTTCAAGACAATTTAAATGAAAGAAAATCACTCTTAGCTAGATGTTTACGAGTAAAAAATTTGAGGACAATTTGAAAATATCTATCGAAAATCCAAAAAGATTTCAGCTTCATTAATTAATTTCTTTGAGAAATACTCACACGAGTTCTCATCCACACAAGTTAACACAACAAAATACTTTGATTGGACCCTGTTTAGTTGTTATTATATGTACCAGTTATTATCTTTTGACCCCCCCTACTCGTGCCATACTTCTCATAAGCAATTATGAATTTCTAAATAAGAATCTGTGGCACTGATAAATAATATATTTAAAAATATATCTCTTCATTTCTCGAATGAGGAATTTCTCAACAACTATCAGTTTCCAGTGAAAATTTGTGTTTACATGACACATATTTCTTGTAGATTGACGTGTGTAGAATTTCGGTGGTATTTGAGGAAAGTCCACATGTTACGTAAATTCTTTCATACTCGAAGGAAAGTTAGGTAGCCAAAAATTGCACAAATGAACACATGAAAATTGGCTGACGTGGGATTCCCCATTATAGTATCGTGGGATAGAATCAGTGGCGATTCCTGAAAATCAACAGTGCATCACAAATTTTACGAACGACTTGTTTGTGCATGTCTTTTATAACTAAATTCTATATATTCAATGATTTATATTTTACAATTTGAAGTACCTAAATTTCAAAAATTTTAAATAATTGCGTATAGTACAGGATCCCGCCGCAAAATCACTACGTTCATAGTGTAGTTAATCAAACTCAAATTTTTACATACATTTATGAATAGAAAAATACATTAATGACAGGTTGCCAGTCAAAAAGTGGCCGTCAATATTTTTATTTGAAAAAATCAAGCCCCTAAAATACTTCATGGAGTAAGAGCCAGGTCAATCCCCCTACGAAACCCTTCATCACTTGGAGGGATCGATTGCAGCTTGAGAAATGGTTCTGAAGCAGATTCTGCGAAACATGTTCTTCCTTACGAATCAGTAGACAGTTGTCCTGAAAATCTTGCGAAAAAAAATGGATTCGATAATTTAGGAAACATTAGCTAGATGAATAGCATTTTAGAAGTATTGTTCATGACGAGCTTTTAAACGATGAACGAGAACAAGAATGTTTTTTACTCATTCACCAAATTCAAACACCTGTTCATGCAGCTGCAGTTTTGCAAGAATGTATCATCTCCAAATACGCAAAGTTGCACGGATACGTTAAGCATTTTACCTTATTAAGGTGACCAGACGAAAGTTGCAACCTCAGCATATGAATCTTTATATATTTTTTTTGTTAAAAAAAGAACATTTTATTAAAACAACGATACATATAAAATAAAAACAACAATAAAAATTAATTGGCGCTCCGAGGCGACTTCATTGATTCCAGTGGCGCATTTGCTTTTTCAGCTGCAGGAAAACCCGGAAAAACCTGCAGCACAATGTCCTCTCTCTTATAAAACAAAATGTAGGGTGTCTCTAGAGGCTCCAATAAATTCAATGCATCGCCAGAACACTTTGTGACACGACTATCGTCAAACTTAAACCAGTCCGTTTCGTCTTTGACCAAGGCGTAATAATGACCACATTCAACGCCAGAACCACAGTGAACAATGACTGCATGAATATTATAATAGTGGTCTGCTAGGTTGAAATGTTCATCTATTTCGAACCTTCCAAAGAGTTTCTTGCTTCCGTTAGAGGTTGAGTCTTGTTTGAAAATCATCAGTGTTATTATTAGATCGACTGGTGCCTCAGCTATACTTGTTTCCTTATAACAGTCAGTTAGTTTGGCGCATGTTTGACAATACAGTCGATCATCACCCGTTAAACATTCCATTTTCAGATGATTTAACAATAAACTTTGCATGGACTGGTTATTAGTCATATTAGGAAAAGCTAGATGAAGTTCCAGAAATTCACATAAGTTTTCGGTACTTCTTGAACATTTACCACAAAGTAAACAAGTGAGGATTTTTTCAGCAAAGGATTTACAAACACAAGACGAGATGGACTGTAAGGAATCATTCAATGCAGAGTATTGCAGAGCGGTCAGGCGTATTGATTGTGCTATTGTTTTGCTAACAAAGAGTATTCATCAAGAACCCCAAGAATTCGGAACAATCCTCTTGTTGTCCTAACGTATCTAGTGGACTTCAAAGACTCCAGGAAATCGGTTGGAGGGAAAGATGATACCTTCTTACGAAACTGCAGCTGCATGAACAGGTGTTTGAGATTGATGAATAAGTAGGAAACATTCCCGTTCTCGTTCATCATTAAAACTTCGTTCTTGAAATTCTTCGTCATGAACAACACTTGTAAAATGCTATTTATCTAGCAAGTGTTTCCTAAATTATCCAATCCAATTTTCTTCTCTAGATTTTCAGGACAACTGTCTACTGATTCGTAAGGAAGAACAGAATCTCCATAAGAACCATTTCTCAAGCTGCGATCGATCCTTCCAAGTGAAGAAGGGTTTCGTAGGGGGATCGATTCGGCTCTTGCTTCATGAAGCTCTTCCACTGAAAGGGAACCAGTTCTACGAGGATTGCAAGTCATATTTGGGGGGCAAGATGACCTGAGTCCAATAACTTGAGGCAGGTCAAGATCAACAGAAAGTATTGAGAAATTCATTCAGTATTCATTAATCACTCTTCAGAAACGGTTCCAGAGCATTTTAAGAATGCAGCACATCTTCTTTTCATCGTTCCTGTTGGGTAGCAGGATTCTTTGTATTTTTCTTAACTATTTTATTAACTACTCTAAGCGTATTTTTTTCGTTTTCATCATAATAAATATTTCATTCAATTTTGAATGAGTTCTTCCATTATTTGGATCATGTGAGTGCTACAGCAATTGACTATCTTATTATTAACATTTCAGAAGATGAAGTAACTGTATATCTTCATGATACTTCACTAGCAAAACATCTTGCCCATATTCTTTCTTTCAGTCTACCTAACTTATCATCAAATGAATTGCAAACTACTACTACCACCTCTAAAAAAAAATTCATCGATGAGAATTTCCAATAACTCAGAACACGACTGAGCAATATCAACTGGACTGGATAAAATAATTAAAAGAATAATGAGTTTTAATTTCAATTTTCTTCTTCTTCATCGTCGTCGTCTTCTCGCAGCTGTTAAAATTCAAGGTCGTTATCATCTTCATTGTCATCTTCACCCAGATTCGTTTCCAATTCTTCCATGATTTCTGGATCAAATAACCTATCTTCGTTAACATCGGTCTCATATGGTACAGCATTGAGACAAGTTTGCCCATTACACTGGCCACAAGCTAACGAGCATTGCAACTCCGCTTTCCTGCGTCCACATCTTGAACCACAGCCACTTATGCAGTTACAGAATATCATAGCAGGTGTTAAATGGTCATGATAGGTTCTAACAATCCGTTACGCATTGTCCAACCCCATTCCTGGGGTTCTAAATCATGTCCTAACCAAGTTTGAACTTGGTAATAAACACGATTAAAATGTTGGTGAGCTGCTCCACTTGTTGGTGGGATATTTGATAACTGCACAGGTTTATTGAGCTTTGTTAGCTTGACATATTGTGCATAACGAAGATGATCGATAGTATCTACAGACTTTGGAGCATTATAAACAGGTAATAAAGTTTGCAATCCACTATCAAATGATCTTTGAACCGGGCAGTTTTCTTCTTCAAATGCTGCGGCAAGTTCATCCCAATTAGATAGTTTCTCGAATGTTCTTAAAACGTTTTTTTCCTTTTTTAAAGAGCGCAGAATTCATATCACATTCACATTTGCTTTGCCAACTTTTTTAAAGAAAATTTCTTGTCAAGAGATAGTGTACGCCCAATTAAAATCACAAGTAAATCAATATCTTCACCGACTATAATTGCTGTTCTTTGACGTTTAGATTCTTCAATAGCTGTCTCAATAATGAGAACATCCCCATCATCTCTGGCCTGTTTAGTGTTGATGTCAACAAAATGCAATTACCATAAAAGAGAATACAATTAGAATGTAATTAAAGTATATCCCTTAATGACTTTTTGAAATATAGAAATAAATTGCATTATTGAATTCATAGATCGGTTCATTAATAAAAAAAATATTTAAATATAATGTATTTGCTAATAAAAAATGAAAATTATTTGTAATTATTTATTAAGTAATAATTTATAAACCTTAAATGAGCTGATTTCGATCGGGAAAACCAGTTGATTTCAAATAATATTCAATCTGCCATCGCGCTGCCCTCTATGTCAAAAACGATTCAACGTATGAAAAAATGTTTGAAACAAAAGTTGTAGAAAATTTAATTCTCTACAATATTGATAATGAATACAATTAGCATAAAACCCATTGGAAACGAGATATTGGCAAAAAACGTGCAAAAAGTCGGTTTTTTTACTTTTGACCCCACAATTTTTGAAGTTGCAGCTGTCGAATCATATGTGAATTTTGAGAATACTTTTATGATGCCAAAATACAAAATTTATACAAATTTACAGCTGGGTACGTCAACTTTCCGAAATACAGGTCTGAATCGGCCTAAAATGACTGCACTATAGAAGGGCTTAGAACAAATGATGCATTTGATGCTTTCATGAATGAATTTTTATGGTGTCTTGATGTGGCTTGTCCCAGAGTGAATACAAATAACATACACAATGGCAGCAGACCCAAAGTAAAAAAAAGATGGGTGACAAATGAACTAAAAAATCAAAGTAAAGAGTTGAGAGAGCTGTATAAAAAGTGATGAAAGGAAATGTGAGTGAGGAGACATATAAAAAATAAAAGAGGGAATATACAAAAAAACTGCGGAAGTCAAAACCTGAATATTATGGCAACAAAATAGAAATATCTGAAAACCGAAAAGAGCCAGGTGGAACATAATAAATTATTATACAGGGAGAAATAAAAATATAAAAAACAAGGATATCCTCCTTGAATAAATGATGTCTTGTTAACCGATAATTCGCAAGTTGTAAATGAGTTTGCTAACAACTTTGCGAAGGTAGTCTCTGAAAATCGGTTAAGCTACATACGTCAGAATATGTCACTACCACATACCGGCGCTGATTACAATGAAAACTCTATTTTCTTCGAGGAAGTGTTGGAAACTGAGATACTAACGACGATCAATAATTTAAAAAATAAATCATCTAGTGGATTTGATGTCATCCCAACAGTATCGGGCATTCTAGTGAAGCTCATAAATCAATCAATA